AGCAGTCAGAAGACAAGGCTTCAGTGTTTGTTCCATGATTAGTAGAAGCAGGATAAATTGAGCAAAGCCATTTAGAGTGATTGCAGCATTCAGCATTTCTCAGTGTTCATTTTCCTTTGCCTTAGCACGGAAATACGATTTCTTTTTTTAGCACACATAACTCTTCTTATTCTCTAAAATAACACTGCAATCCTAAACATGCCTTTGTGGGAGTATGTCTCACTGAACTCAGTGGAGCTTACTGCTGAGTAAACATGAATAGGATTGCACTCCAACAGCCAAATTACACACATCACTGTAGTTTTCACACATCCTTCCCCAACACTTTAAAGGAGAAAGTGCAGGCACAGAAATTGCAGTCTGAAGTGGAAGACCCATGTGATGGGGAGGGGCTTCTTAACTTCAACATTTTTCTACTTAAAATCCCCTAAGATTAGTTTTTTACCCTTTGGGAAAAGATATGGGTACTTGCACCCTCCTTATACCCAAATCAAAAGAAAAAGAGCTTGGACTGATTTTAGCAGAAAGCCACTGGAAAGGAAAGAGTTAAAGATGGCAGCATCTTTTTTGTTTTCCAAAAAGTGGGGAGGGGAACTTAGCATAATGTGTAAATTGGATGTACCCCAACAACAGCACTTATGCAGAAGAGATGCAAAAAATATGGCAAGGCTACAGAATGTATTACAGCCCAGAGAAGATGACAAAACTTTCCTAAAAGGATAATAATTCATTATAGAGGGCTTCCAGTTAGATGTACCTTCTCTGTTTTGTGACCTCATGCTACTTCTCCAATGTCTTGGCACAAGGGCAGAAAGGGATTTATGGAGGATGAAACATCACCTTATGTTGCAAATTGCTGTCGTGACTGACAGTTTCTGCTAGATCATTACAAATGCAAGTCACGGGCGCATCATGGAAAAGAAGGGAGAGCGAGCTCAGCTGGAGAGAGCTGCCTGAATGCATAAAAGTAACATACAAACCCAACACACACTTTAGCACCCACAGCAGTGTGTGAGAGCTCTCTCTCTCTCTCTTTCTATTAGCCACAGAGATTTGGAGAAAAAATCCATTTTCCAGGAGAACACTCAGGAGACAAATAATCTCAAATTGGCAGAACATAAATAGCAACAGTCCTGAGAGAAAATTGCATTTGGTAGCTTTTGCAGGGGAGTATACATGAGCTCCTCCACATGCTAAATGCACATGCAGAGGGGGCCATGTGGCCACATGAGGTAGGCCTGATAACTGCTGCACGATGCCACCACATTCCTCCAAAGACTAACCATTTAGAACCATAGAATCATAGAATGGAAGTGTTGGAAGGGGCCAGGAGGCCACCAAGTCCGACCCCCTGCTGTTGCAGGACACCAGGGTACACCATCCCACGTCCAGATACTTTTTTAGTGTCTCCAATGAGGGAGAGCCCACAACTTCCCCAGACAATAGGCTTCATCGCCGAACTACTTGGACAGTGAGGAAATCCTTCCCATTGTCTAATCTAAATCTGGTTTCTTTTAACTTGAGTCTGTTATTTCGTGTCCTGCACTCTAGAATGGAAGAGAAGAGAGCTTGTCCTTCCTCTTCGTAATACCCTTTCAGGTACATGTAGAGTGCTATCATATCACTTACGATATTACTATTATGATATTATTACTTCGCAGCAAACATGCATAGGACTGCACTGTCAGTATTTGCTTGGATGCAGTCTTAATAACAGTCTTTTGGGGAGTCTCTGTGCAATACACAAGCTTAGAGAAATGTTCTCTCTCTAAGCTTCCCTGAAGAAGAGAGAAAGCTGCATCAACTGAGCTGTCCATTTCATCCACATGTCCTATAAATAAGAAATCCACATTAATCAAATGCAAAATTGTCCTATTTCTATCTAAGTGAAATTTATCATAAAGCCACACCCCTCGACCAACAACAACAACAACAACAACTAGCAAGTTACATGAATATTGGATTCATCATGGACATGAACCAGCGATCATTTAACTGCCTCATACCTGCCTGGTTCTGTCATTTGAAGGGCATTTATAGCTCAAGAGCATAATAAAGAAAGGGATTAATTGCACTGATATAAAAGATCAAGGCCACCCATATTCTGGCTGTGCTCAAGCAGGGGACTGAGGTGACAGACTTCTCCTATTGGCAGGCCTCAGTATCCGGTATCGAGATGTACAGGGCCCCTGATGTGCCATTGAAGGCAGAAATGCATATTTAGTTCCATTATTCATTTTAGTGGCTTTTGCTCTCTGTATGAAATTCAGCTGCTGTAATTTGAAAGGGGAAATAGGCTTTCAGACCTTCTAGACTGAGGACTCCCACTGCCATCAGAAAGTATCTGCAGCTATTCTGTCTTTTCTGCCTTAACAAACTTTCTGTTCTAAAGACAAAAATGAAAGCAGCAGTAAGAAAACACGGAAGGGTCCCAAAGACAACAGCACCTGGACCCCACATAAATATCTGTGAAAGAGGCAGAGCAATAACACCACAAAACCTTATCTGGAAGCACCCTAAACTTTTTTCTCCTGTAATTTTCCTACAGAAAAATCACCCCTTCTCCCCAGGAGATGTTCAACCTGCTGGGAGAAGAGACAGACTTTGAATCTTTGGATTACATTAGCCAGGGACAGAAGAGCGCAAGGATTCTGCACGTCTATTATTGGTGAAGCAGAGGCGTTTCAGCAGGTGCAACTTGCATGTTAAAAGCTGTGCCTGCTGCAGAACCCTATTCAAGATGCAGGACACCTACACTCTGCTGCATCTGTTCTATTTGCTTTCACAACAGGGTATTGCAGGTGGGGAAATAAAATATACCCACAACAGAGGTATGAGTTAGTGAGAAAATGTGCTGGTATAACACATCAGCCATGTGTCAAGAGCGAAAAAAAACCACCCTTTAAGAGTCCACTGGGACTGTATCATCAAAAGTACATTTACACTTTATTCAGACGTACAGGAAGTACATGCAACATGTAGGAAGCCCCAGAAGGGACTACAGAGATGAAGTCTGCACAAGATGCTTTTATAACCAATCAGGCACATACACAGTTTGGGGGAGGGGTGGAGGATCACGTAGGCAGTTCGCTAGAGACACATGAGAGTAGAACAAAGGAGACTGAATGGAATTAAAACAACCCTCAGGACAGGTAAGCAATTAGTATATCTAAGAGTGTACCTGAACAGGCAAGGCATTAAGCATCTCTAAGGTGTATGAGGGAAGCCAGCCTTGTGATGCTTAATTATAAAGCTGTTCTTACAGTGTCGGGCTTTTAGCAGCCATATTATGGCAAAGCTTTTGCTCATTTTGTCCTGACACATTCCATGTTTGGATATTCCCTCAGAACTGGAGCACCTTTTGGAAATGTATGCAAATGGAATGCGGAACAATTTCAGCCCATTTTGAAGAGACATTCAGGAGCATTGGTGGGGCTGAAGGAAAAAGCAGATGGGGCACAGGCTGAAGGGAGAGGCCATAATACAGCATATTTCTGAGGAGAGGCATTTCAACCTTAGAGATTGTGAAGTAGGGAAGGGAACTGCACAAAACCCAAGAAACTGGCCTTCCTGGGAACTCTGGAGGGTCAGACTGAGTCCTGGAGGGAGGCATTTGGCCCCCAGTCCTGAGGCTCTCTGGCCATGTTATACAGAATGAGGCTCTCTGGCCATGTTATACAGAATTTATTTATACATATGCTAGAAAACTCTATATCCCAACTTCCTGCAAAAGCTCAAGTGACGTACAGAGACTCAAAAACTTTAGCATATATGACTGGAAAGTCATTCAGAACAACAATAAACAGTTCACATATCAGTCATCTCAAATACTTTTATCCACCAAACTTAATTGTTAGCAAAAACTAGCTACCATTTCTCTCTGCAGTCGTATTTTTGGAATCCATGGCAGATTCAGCTGTGAAAAGAAAAAAGGAGCTGTCCTTTCTGCCTTCAGTAATTTCAAAACAGTCAGGATGGTGAAACTAAGTGTTTCTACCCCAGAAAGTAGCACATTCTGCTTTACAATGATGCCTCATATTTTATAGCTTTGCTTTGCAAACCCTGGGGGGTGGTTTCCATAGCCAAGTCCAGCCAAGTTTTTAAAAGGAATAATAATAAGAAGAAATGTAGTGATACCTGCAGGCTTCAAGATATATTAACAATTTAATTCATCTCTATGCACTCTCAAGGGCAGCAGTAACTTGAAAGTATGCTAGCTGGAAATGTCATGAACTTCTGGAAGTATGCATTGGCAAAAAGTTAGTGGAAACTGTCTACTGTATTTGCAATTCCCTAAAAGGAGGTTAGGCAAGTCCAGAAAAAAAATTACTGCCCATTTCAAGCTCGGGTGTTTTTGCTACTAGAGTCACTGAAAGACAGAGGGAAAAAATAATGACCTTCAACAACCCCGTTATAATCCTCTTTTGCTAAAAATATTTTCCTGTCTTTATAAGTTCCCCCTCACATAGGATTTCTGTACAAATCTGGTCATTGCTAAATCTTAAGAGCCATTAAAGAACACAAATGTTGTGAGATGTTCAATACTACCAAGACATAAAGGGAGAAAGGGGTAATGAAGGGTGCAATTCTAGCATCTTTAGATAGAAAAAAATGTTCTCCAGCTGGCTGGCTGGGGAATGCTGGAAGCTGGGAGCCTTTTTTGGGGGGGGGAGGGGGAGGGGGTACCCTTAACATAGCTGCTACTAGTTTAAAAAATCAAGGTCGTTTGTGGAAATTAGTTTTAAATCACTGTTTGTTCCCCTTTTGAGATCTTCCCAAAAACCACAAATAGTCCCAGTTGAAGCTTACACAATGTATCACAACTAACCAAATGCATAGTATTGTCCCAATACTGTGTTTCTCCTTAGGGATGCTTAGACAAATGGAGTTTAATTGCATGCTGTGGTTGGAAAAGCATCTTTAGGGACCAAGGATTATGAAGACAATGGCTGTCCACCCAACCCTCCTGCTCTTTATGAAGAGCAGTTGAATACACTTACCTTGTGGTGCCCAAAGTCATTCAGTACAGTGCCAAGCTTCTTCGTGTTGGTGTGAAGTTTATGAGCAGCAATCATTGGGTTAGGATCACGCCAGTCTATGGAGAGGCGATGGTACCAGAAGCGTTGCCCTTCCTGAACATGTGCCATCTTGATGCTAGGGTCAAAGCGGTGCACCTCACATCCACTATTGGCCATGCTGATCTCAAACTCGTTCTGATCACCGCCCAACCTTATCAAAGCCAATGGGACAAGCACTGTTACTTTCAAAACAAGAGAAATCTGAAAGCGTTAGCAACAGCAGCCTTTAGCCAAAGTATCCTTAAAGGGCTTGAGATCAAAATTTTTAAACCCGGGAACTCTAAGGAAACAGCAACAAAGTGCCCATCAGTATAATGGATGCATTTGCTTTATAATAATCAGAGAAGGTGATATATGGGTTTTACACTCTCTACTAAAATGTAAATGTTTTTCCACTGATTTCAAAAACAAAAAAATATATTTACAGACTTGGTATAGGAGCAAATCCTGATCTGGTCCCAGGCATTGGTAAACTCTGTCTTGTGGAGCAAGTTTTAGCCTGCTGTGAAGCATGCCCAGGTAGAACAGGTGTGAAACAGGTGTGCTTTGCAGGGTTCCAGTCTCATAAGCTAACCAGATTGATTGTGGGCTGATGTTAAGCTGCCCATGCAGTGGCCAAGTAAACAGTACTTGAATTGCATGATTAATTGATCATTCATTCAGGTACCTATTTCATTATTTCTCTTAAAGGCGTAACTTCCTCAGAAGAGCAGTTTCGCTCAGCTCCTTTTCATATTGGGAAAATTATGCAAGCAATTACAAATATGAAAATTGGGAAATCACCTTTTCTGGACAAATGGCCAGATGAGTGATATAAACTGTTTCCAGCCTGTTCATTCTAAGTCTATAGTATGACTTTATACTCCTATTTTGGAAGTGGCTATCTTTCTTCATTGTTAAAAGATGGTAAATGAGAAGCTGCAGCAAAGAGGATGGCTTTCTCAGTAGTGGCCCCTCAACACTGGAATCATCTCCCCACTGAGGCCTAGCTGGCACCACCCCTGTCTTCTTTTCAGTGCCAGGGTAAGATATCCTTCTATGTCAAGGTATTTAAAGACAAGCAAGAATGTCCAAAAGCTTGAAGGGACTACCCACTCAGTTGTTGTACAGGCCTACCCTCTATTATATGTTGCTTTGCCTGTTTTCAATTTGTTTTAAATGACTGTATTTTGGCAAATGTTTTATTGCATGTTTTCATGAATTGTTGACAACTGTCCAAAAGGCATTGGCTACTGGGATGCAGAGAAACACAACCAATAATACTAATTAATAACAATAATGTGACAGGTAAGGATCACATTTAATGTATTAACTTTCATTTAATTAATTAGATATTAAAATGTTAACTGCAGTTCCAGCTAATAGATTGAAACAAGTTATCACAATATTGGTTCAAGCAGATCAGGTGGGATTGGTTGATGTTGTAGTTTTTTTATGCTGTTAAGTTGTCCCTGACTTATGGTGACCCTATGAATGGCCTCCAGAACGTTCCATCCTTGACAGCCCTGCTCAGCTCTTGTAAATTCAAGGCTGTGGCTTCCTTTCTGGAGTTAATCCAATTTCTATTACTACATTTATTCCTTGGCTTTCCTCTACTTGCAAGGAACCCAAAGCAGATTCCAAGGTTCTGCTCCTCTCCAGCAACCCTATGAGATAGGTTAGGCTGAGAGTCTGTGATTGGCCCAAAGTGAGCTTTCATGGTCAAGCAGGAGCCAGAACCCAGACTTCCTGAACCCCAGTTCAACACTGCAGTCACTACACCAGGGGCTGATCATCTTAGATTAGATTTAGATCTGGTACCTTTAAGTACTGATAAAACAGACGTTTCTGTTTAGATGCTGGAAAGGCCTTTGACAAAACATTATTGGAAATTTATTCTTACTACATTAAAGTCATTTCAGTTTTCCTGTGAAAATCTTAAAATGGGTCAGAAGTTTATTCAACCTTTAGAGCTAGAATAGTCTCTTCTCAGCTTTCTTTTCACTGGGGAGAAGTGCCAGACAGCGATAGGTACTTTCTTCATTGATATGTGATGTATGCTTGGAATTCTTAGAATGCAGTATTAGACAAAACAGTAGCCTGTTTCATGCATGATTGTTTAGAACTAAAAAATATGTTTTAAGTTGATGACCTTTTATTGTTTAACTCAGAACTCCAGTTGCCTGCTCCAGCATTGAAACAGTTGATCAGTATATGTGACAATTTGTCCACCTATTAAATTAACTGGTCAAAGTTCAAACTGAAGCCACATGGAGATACTGTATGTCAAAATGTATTAGCTAACTAGCAATTTTTGTGATGTCCAGATCTTATTGCTTATTTTGGAATATCTATCCCAGAGACATATCTCAAATTAACAAGCTAACTTTGAATGTGAATTAATAAGATCTTGTGGGATATAAATAAATGGGCACCTTTAAAATTCTGTTGTGACATAAATATAATTAAGATGAATGCTATACGTCAGATTGCATATGTTGTGGGATTCCTTCATCTGCATCTTCAGAAATATTTTTTTTAATTCAGTGTTTATTTCCATAAATTTTGAGAAGGGTCCCTCCCTATCACTAATACCCTTAAAAAGGATACAACTTCCATTTAAGGAAGGAGGGTTGGCTTTTCAGAGTTTGTTAACTATACTCAATTTCAATCTTTTCCACTTAGATTAGATTTTTTACCTTGATCAGCTTTGGAATATTCCTGTCTGGATTCTCATTCCAAATGGTTTTCAGCACATTAAAATTGATAGGATTTCTCCCACAGTTATGACTATTAGCAATATAAAGGTCAATTTCTTTAATAATTAGTTATTAAAATATGTATATTCCACCTTTCTGGGGCAGGGAATGGGGGAATTCACAAGGGAATTTTAAAGGCAATAAAGAATAATAGAAATACATTTTAAATGTCTTACCAAAACACAGTCACAACAAACAAAATTACTTCCAAGCCTATGTGAAAAGCAAGCACAGACATGTAAAAAGTGGACATGTGCTGCAGCTGAAGTGGCCCTGTTGCATCTTCCTGCACAAAAGATGGTCCCATGGACTGGGAAGCAAGTTACTTCAGCAGAGTCTCTGTAGCTGAACTGACAGAAAAGCAGCTGTGAAGCCTGATCTGGCACCACATCCTCTATCCAGATCATGAACCTGCACTTTCCCAGCATGCTGCTGCTTCACACACACTCTGTGCCTGTGACATGCCCCTGAAGATGCTTGCATAAATATCACCTTTGGACCAGTTAGCAACTGTGGAGTTTTGGGGGAAGAAAACATGCGCAGGGGCTTGATCCCGTCTGGAAGTGAGGCCCTGGAATGTCTTCCCTTCAAAGTGAAAGTGATAGCATTTAATGGTCCAAGCTGTGGGCTAGGCAGATCTAGAAAAACATTTTCCAAGAACTTTCTGAGTCTGGACAGATTGTAAACTTCCCAGTATTTATTATCTGTTGTACATTTTGAAATACAGTGGTACCTTGGCTCCCGAACTTAATCTGTTCCAGGACTCTGATAGTGACCCAAATTGGTCATGAGCCAAGTTAAATTTCCCCATAAGGTTCAATGTAAATAAGGTTAATCCATTCTGTAACCATTTTTTAAATCAGAAAAATGTGAAGCAAAGTGACAAAGAACAACAAAGATCACGGCCATCTCCCCCCCACCCCCAGCACAAGCGTGGCCATCTCTCCACCCCCTCAGGACGACCGAGATCGTGCCTGTCATCCCTGCACACGCCCATCATCCCGGCACACTGGGGAGTGGGGGCAGAGACGGGCACGATCACGGGCGCGCTGGGGGAGGGAGAGATGTGTGCGATCTCAGCCATCACACCCCCTGCCCCCAGCACAATCATGGGCATCTTCCCAGTCGAGGGGGAGGGGGAGGGGGGAGATGGCCATGATCATGCTGGTTGCGGGGCGGGGGGGGGAGAGAATGGACGAGATTGCGCTCGTTTTTCCTGCAGGAGCGTGCCCATGATCATACACATCTTCCCTGCAAGAATGCAACTGCGATTCGTGGCCATCTCCCCACTCGGTGTGGGGGGTGGGGAGATGGCTGCAATCTTGGTCACTACCCAATGCAGACTTTGTGACACACGTCAAAATTTTCATGAAATTTTTGTTCGTGACCCAATTTGGTCGTGGACCAAGGCGTTCGTGAGCCGAGGTACTACTGCACTTAAGAACTGCATGCTCAATTATGAACAGAAGAAATCCAAAATTCCAAATTTTATAATTCTGAAGCCTAGTGAAACTTTTTTTTGTAATCCTCTCTCTCTGCCAATGATGACGCAACTGCTTCTTTTATAAATATATGTGTTTGTTTTTAATCCTAAAGCAGCTCAAAAACTGATCATTCAAATGCATTGATACATTTTCCCATCTGTCAGCAGGCCGATAATATACTTTCTGTAAATCAGGAGGCGAAGCATGCATTCCTATGGGTGGCACAGCAAAAAAGCATTTAAAAGAGGCAGCTGTCTTCAACTGTTTTCTGCTTTTCATTTTAACCCTCACAAATGTACATTCAATGTTTTATGCAATACAGATCTGTTGCAAGGCTTTCTTTTTATACTTTAAAATATTTGTTTCTTCCTCACTTATCCTCTGGGAAGAACACAGCTGGTCTTCATTTCCTTTTACATAAATAAAAATACATTCGATAAGAAGTATATTTCAAGGAAATTTGATCTTACTTCAGGCAGGATTGCTTCTCTATGCAGTCATATACAAACGACCAAAATTAAGTGTCAATGCCACTGAAAGATTGTAATTGGATTGGAGTTGCTAGGAATTAGAATAGATTGCTATGTAATTCCACAAGAATTACAAACACAAGCATGGGCCACATGCAGATTTCATTTATCTAAACCTTAGGTGAAATTAGTTTCTTTTCTTAAAAAAAAAAAACAAATCAGTGCTTCTATATTTTTCAGCAAAGGGGATTGTTCATGGAAGATATTGAGTCAGTACTGTCCTTTTGAAGCTTACTCAGAAGCAAGGTAACAAAACACAAAACGAAATCCAAAGGTGTTTGTTGATTTCATTATTATTTCCGAAGGACTTGTGTAACATCAGGCTTCCAAAGGAAGCTGTTTATCCAACCGAGATAGTTAAAAGAGGGAAAAGCCACCAGTTATGTGCTTTACAGCTGTATCAGCCACCTTGTTGGATACACAGAGTCAACCTTGTCCAGTATTCTGTTTCCAGCCATGGCTAACTGCCTCTCTTCCGAGTAGCTTTCAAGCAGGGAGTGTGCACCAGCTCTCCCTTGACGATTGTCCCCAGAATCTGATGCTCCCTGTTCTGCTGCCTTGGAGCATGGAGGCACCAAGTAGCTATTACGGCTTACAGTCATGGACGAAGCTGTACCCCAAAATTTGTTGGGACTTTTTGTAAAGCCTTCCAGGCTCATGACCATCATTGCAATTGCAAGTAGTGATTCCTTATGTAATTACACAGTGTCCAAACATGTACTTTCTTTTGTCCAACCTGATCCTACTACTAGTCACTTCGGTGGGTGATTCAAATGGACCAGGCAACACTGAACCGTAGATCATTGTAGCAGCTTTGGCGGAGGTGGGGGGAGGGGATATGTTTTCAGAAATACCACATTAGAGTAACCAAGAAAGTTGACATACATCCCCCTGAAATGTCCTGACTTCTGAGTGGGAGGAAAGGGCAACTGTGCCTTAAGTCTCACCTCTGCTCACATGAAAAAAATTGTGGTAAGATCACTTTCATCTAGTTTCAGTGTGATACACCCAAAGGCATGGTAAATGCCCTTGTGTTCTTCAAGCACGTGCTGCATATGCCAAAGAAATCCCTGCTGGATGCCACATGGCCACAGCACTCTCTCTTCCAACACTTCACCCAGTTCAGGGGCTTTACAGTGGCTTACTGCCAGATTAGGTTTCTATAACAGATATTTAAACAAGATTTTTCCACAGTCAGCTGGCAGAGCATTTATCTACGGTCATTTCACACTTGCAGTCCTCTTCATGAGCATCCTAGGCAGTGATCCCCCCACCTTGTGACATGAGAGCTGTGAAAAAAGCACACCCAGTTATATGAGAGTGCAGGGACTCCCTCAGTCACAACAAAGCAGTACCCAAAAAGGAAGACCACAGTTTGGGGGACTGTTGGAATCATACGTACGCTTCATGATTTAGGTCTTGTATTTGAGCATAGGCAAGTGGGATAAGCTGGAAGATTTTCAAAATATTTTGGACTTCCCAAAAATTGAAGACATGCAGTCAAAAAAACTAGAAGCTTGCTGTTATGTAACACACAGTGCTCAAATTATGGTGGCAAAGGAATGCAAGGAGTTTGACACAAATCTACAAGTAATTTGTTTTCCAAGTGTAGGCAACATCCCATGAATGACAGTCAAATAAACAAACCTATCCTGGAAGAAGATAAGCAAGGCTACTAGCATAAAATATCGCTAAAACATTGTGTTAAGAACAGACCATCTGGGACTGCTGCTCTTATACACATTTTCTGCCCACCTTGGTGGAGACACTTACCCCAACGAATATAGGCGACACTGCTTGCTTTTGAGCTGATGAACTAAATTAAACCTGTCATCCAAGCAAATTGACCATGGCCTCTTTTGGCTGTCAGGATTTCCTGGTAGGTCTTTCAAATTTGTATGGCTGCATGAAATCTGTGAAAATAACAAGTCTTTATTTTACTCTGTGTTCTTCTCTTTCAAATCCATCTTGCATTTTGTTTGAGCAAGGAGAAAGGATGAGGCAACAGAGGAAATGGTTCAGCTGTTATGTGGCTGACAAATAGTAATGCAGGGGGAGACAGTTTCTGGCTTTATGTTATGTCTGTTTTCCAAAAGAGAGGATGTGCTGGATGGAAAGAAGTCAGAGCAGAAGAGCAGTGCAAACATAAAAGACAAATAATTGAACTCCAGTCAGCATTATGCACCGAACAATTTTTTTCAAATTCGCTAGATTGCAAAAGTCCATTTATTTTCTTCTTTCAACTGGAATTCAATTCTATATTTGAGAATATGTATAGATTAATAATATCGTATCTCCCAATTATTTGGTATATAGGTTTGAGATATTTACCTCCATGGCTCAAGTAGCCTCCATGGCACAAAGGTGAGTTGAGGCTGGTGAGTCAGCCTGACCACAGCAGTTCACATCACTGTGATATGCAGCTTGTATTAATATCGGGGTGGCTTCATACTGGCGCTTAGGCAGCTGCTCTGCCCCACAATCTACTTCCAAGGAGAAAGTGCTAGTGACCGAGCTGGGGCACCTGAAGGACTGGCTGCCTGCTCACATGAACAGTTTTCTCACTGGAAACACCTCAGCTAGGGAATAATCTCACCAGGGAAATTCACCTGGCATTTACCTAATTATCTTTTGGGTGCCAGGAAGAATGCTTTTCATTCTTGCAAAGCAAGAGTTTAGTAAGGATTTTAATACCTGGTGAAATTTGCTTTCTGCTTCTTTTTATGTGTTCTTTATCTGTTGTTAGCTTTGACACAGCTGTATTCATATTTATTTTATTTTTCTCTGTTCGGTAGAGATAGCCTACAAGCATGCCTCAGAAGGGCAAGATATAAATTTTAAAAGTAATACAACTAATAAACAAAATATATCCAATTCCGCCGGCATTCAAATAAACAGGTAACATTCCTCTCTCTCTTCTCCCCCAACTCCACCCTGGGAGATTCAGATTGAAGCTCATTTAGTACTCATATGCATTTTCAGTGGATATGCTTAAATAAATCCACTGGAGAATTAAGCCTATGTTTAAGCTCTTTGCTGAACACATTTTAAATCCACTAAGAAGACAATGTAATCATCCTGTCTAGAACTCACAACAGGATTATTTGCAGAAGAAAGAGCCAAACTGTAACCTTAACCATTGTCAGGTTAATCACAGATAAGACAAAAGCAATCTTGTCCATAAGCACCACAAAAGGGAAAAAGAATCCTGAAGGGGATCTTGCTGTTCCCAATGGCGTGACTCAGACAACAAAGGTACTAATCATCTCTCTGGTTTGGTCATAGTCCAGCCAATCCAAGCTCTGCCTCAAGAGTACTATAGATTCTACAGCATAAAGAAACAAATTCTGTCATCCAAATAATTTCTGCACATAGCTGATTCCATCCCCCACCCTTTAATTTAATTCCATCCCCCACTCTTTAATTCACTTTTCTATCAGGTATGTTCAAAACAGTTACACTATTCCTGATAGCTTCTAAAAACAGTCAGGAGACTTATTCAGAAAACAGAAGTTTCAGAAAGTTGACTGCCTTCTGATGCTTCACGTATTCAGGTGTAGGCCAGAGGCTGCTCAAATGAATTAATGAATGCTGCTTATATTGAGTACATATTTCCCCTTGTTTATATATATAAATCAATATAAGCCATATAAAATAAATTATAGATATATATAAGTATCTAAATATATTCTGTTCTATGAATATATAATAGGAATCCTCGAATACACAGAAAACCAAACTGCAGCAGAATTAACAGATTCCTACAACGCTGCTAGCAGCAGCAAGCTGGGGAAACTGTTTGCGGCCAGGTCCTGCAGGGAGATCAAGGGCAAAGGGGAATCTGCAGCCTGGTGAGGCAAAGTGCTGGAGGCAGAGGAAACGTGGTTGTCAGCACCACACAGGTGCGCTGGCTGGCTGGTTAGCGGCTTCTCCATTGCACGGACAGCCACTGTTGGCAAGGGCAGCTAGCCAGAAGGCAATCACATACCTGCAGGATGCTGACAGAGCTGCCAATACTGCCTCCTGGAAGCCTCTGGCAAGAGCAAAAATTCTCTTCTCCTCCACTCTGTTAACTAGCTGATACCTCAGCATTACAAGCAGTTGAAAAACTCAGAATTTAACTCTTCATTTTACTAGTGCACAAGCACTAGGGAGCTGGCTTCCCTGCGATCAGTTTAGTCTATCCTCAGTCATTTCCCTCTTCTGCCTAACATTTCTCATAACAGAAGTGGAACACTTATCATTATTATTATCTAGAACGCTTACTAGTCACAAAACCCAAGGGATTTATATCCCTCCAGCCAGGATTTCTGACTCATAAAGATGGTGGTCAACCCATAGAGATTCAGAATGTTCTTCATAGTCATTGTCAAGGTTATACTATCCACTGTAAACAAGCAATGTAAAATGTATTGCAGCCAGGTCACTGAAGGCGTGTGGGGGGGGGCGGGTAGGCGGGATGCATTGTCTTTTTACACATATATACAGGTTGAGCAGAAACAGAGGCTCAAGCTTACCAACAGATGCCACTTCCCCATCGATTTCTAGGGCAATCACCAGCACCATAAAATCCTGACAGAGAGGGTCACCCAGAGCTGCCAGCTTCTCCTTCACCTCTTATTTTATATACAGAGTCCTGACTAGTACCACCTTGTTTGTTTGTTTGTTTAAAATAATTATATACTGTTCAGCTGCTCTCTGAAATGGTTCACAAAGCATTATGTCTAGTTGGGGTGGATGCAAGGATGAGTTCACCCATTGCCTGTATCTTCGTAGGCTGTTTTGGCTCCCCTTAAGACACATTACCTGGTAAGGGGTACTCCTTTAGGGCAACCTAGACCAATTTACAAAAACTACTGAAAACAAGAATCACAGCATTGGAAAGGATCCTGTGTAGTCAACCCCCTTGCATTTCATAACAGAATGGATACAAAAAATATGGAAGACAATGAAGACCGAAGATGAACAATCTGTAGATCTTCTTCTCTCTGCATCAAAATGCAAAGCCTAGGGCTTGAAAAATCGGTTGCATGATTCTTTGGATCAAAGCTGGGAAAAAAATCATTCAAAATTGCTAGTTGCGTAAGACAGAATTGACCGGATGCCCAAACTACTAAACAGAATTATGCTTCCTTTAACATTCACTCCAGGCAATTATTGTTACTCAGGAATTCAACAGCATCTGGCAGGAGGGAAATGAGGGCTCCTTACTCCTCCTCAGTTTAATTTATGCCTGCCTGGGGGAGTGGGAGCAATCATTCCCAAAGCTTAAACTCTTGATTGCTATGTCAGCAACTATAAACCCTCTACAAATTGATGCCCTTGTAGGTTTTGACCCAGCTAGTGAAGCCTAGCAGAATCTGCCATACTTTATTACATTCCTGAAAAGAGGAGCAGATATTCTGTGCAGTAAGGCTTCTGGATTCCAAGGCTCTTGAACTGAAAGCTGTGAACTATTTGCACACCATCAGACATCAAAGATGTAAGTTCACTGCTGTTCCTTCAAATGCAGTTATTTGATGTTCAAGTGCAGTGTGGGCAGAGGGTGGGGAGAGCTGCTTGTGAACTAAGCACCATTTTTTGCATTGTGTTCTCTTCCCCTCACACAGAGGAAAGCCTCAGCATTAGAAGACAAGTTTCAGTTTATACAGGGATGGTTATACCTTTTCAACCTGGGCACATATGCTTCAGAAAGCCAATATTGATGGCGCTTATTCCCCAGGATGACGACTTTGTACCACCACTGATACACGATGGAGCACACACTCCTTCCAACAGGGAGCTTTTCCTACACTGCCTTAAGAAGCAGGAAGAATAAAGAAAATACAAGGTACTTTGTACCTGAACAGCAGCACCACGAAGAATAAACGCACCCCTTGGGGTAAGCACAGCAAGCAACGATGCTGGGGAGTGATGTAAGATGCTACCATCATTACCACTTCAAGTATACCAGGTCCTAGCTGCTGCGAGGATGTTGCTGCTCAGAACATTAAAATGGCATCATAGAGAAAGATCAGGGCACAATCCAGCATAGATTATATATTTTTGTTGCAACCTAAAGGTACTTCTCACCATATCATTTATACCACTTGGTAAGTTTTCATTATAGAAACATTTTTAAATCTCCAGTGCCCAGGATGATTAGCACATGCCTAGGACAAAGTCCTTGTATTTGTGTTTGGAAGCACTTTGTAGGGAAATGCTTTCTTAAGGGAACAAAATTCATCTATGCAAACATCCACATATAGGCATTTATTACTATGCCTGGAGGTGGTGGTGGTGGAGGAGGAGGAGGAGGAGGAGGAAGTGGAGGTGATGAGGAAAATGGCTTTAGACTATCATTAGATGTAGATATTAATGTGCAGTTCTTTCCAGTCTGTGGCTTCACAAGCCACTGTGGGTGACTAATGTTGCAGCCCTTTACACAGTTATATGGGACTCAGTCCCATTGATTTTAATAAGACTTACTTCTGAGAAAATATACATAGGATTGCACTGACAAATGGTAATGCAAAGACAATGCACAGGTAAGCTAAGAATTCAAGGAAGCCTTGGGTTGTATATTTTTGAACCATTAGAAAGGCACATTTGCCAAGCTTCATACATTGTGATTCTGGTCACAGCAGTGATTTGCAGCAGCACTTCAGTTGATGGAAATCACAATCTGGACGCAGGCCTAAAATACTCACCTTGCTGAAGTGTAGGTATCCTTCACTATTATTGTTCAGTGTTCCTATAATGTCACATCTGATGTGCTCTTTCCTGCAGGGATCAGAGACTAACGTAGAACATTTGGAATACCTGCTGGGATGGGGGCTGCTCTTCACTGAACCATATGCTTCGGTGTAAGCTTTTGCTATAGTCACGCAGCGCACCTGGGACACAACTGTGACCAGGCTCTGAAGCAAAGTCAAATGGAGAGCAACATGGCTGCACTGCCCCATATGCACAGCTCTAGGGCTGGCACCTCCATAGGGCAGAATGAGTCCGCTTCCTCAGGTGGGTGGTGCTGAAGGCAGCGGCAAGGTGTTCAGGAAAATGGCTGTGACGCAGCCTGCCCTGCAATCCCTCATCTTACCTGCTGCCTGCAGGTAGTGTGCAGGAAGCTACCTGCTCCCCAGCATTCAAATGAGATCCATGTGTCATCCAAGGGCTTTAGTATGTCGAGTTGGAGAACAGGCCCTCTTGGTCTCCACAACAAAATATCTGAGGCTGCCCCTGCACTGTCCCCCACTGAGCGTTTCATGAAGGCAACTGGTAAATTTAAACCGCAGAGATCAGTGAACTACCACAAAAAAATCAAGTTTCCCCACAATACTTGAGGTGCAAGAATTAGGTGGTCTCGTGTGATGACTCAGAACTGAAGAAATGCGCGAGGAAAAAGTATTTTCTGAAACTTTGTTTTGGTCCAGGAATGCTTCCCACATCACTATCACTATCTCCACAGCACCAAGGTTTGCTAGGCAAAGTACAAATGTTTCTTACCTGCATAGATCGGTAGTGTAGCTGACCTGGAGGATCTCTATTCAGGCATAACAATCCCTCCTTGAGCATCTATGTGGTGTAATGGACTGACGGGTGGATTTGTACTGAGAAGACGCAGACTCACTGGTGACCTTCCCTTGGCACTGTTTTCTTAGCCTAACCTACTGCACAGGGCTGTTGTGAAGCTATATCACCTGGAGCCCCATGGAGGAGAGCCAAAATAAAACATGCAATGCAAGCGTCTGCATAAGGCACACACAATACCATCCCTGACAGAGCTCCTCAGTCTTTGTGATAGTTGGGGATTTTGTGGCTAACTCTCAAAGGAAGTACAGCTGTTTAGAAAGCTTTTGTTTTGATCATAATGTTTAATCAGAAATAGCATCTATTAAATCATAAAGGCACAAACTTATTGGTATACCTTACCATCAGCCATTGCACAGTAGAAAAATGAAATTAAATAAATAAACATCCCACTTTCCGGATGCACATGAAACATAATTTTCTTGAGAACTAAAATGTGGGGCCCATGGCATCTACTGTGATTTCCTAAATGAGTGACAAAAAGGAAACCAACCTGGGCAGTGCTGATATACTTTAGGAGCCGGAAGGCTTCAGTACTCAAGGAAGGTGTAGGACTTGCCCAGGGCTGTAGGTCTATGTGCCAACGCATAGCCTGGAACACCGAAAAGGAAAATAAATGAAATTAATATAAGCAAGACTAGAGCTGCACTCAACAGAATGATATTCCTGAAGAAATGATGCATAAAATTTCTTAATTTTCTGAAAACAGAAATAAAGCAGCCACATAATGCTGACATTTGTACTAAGGTTTATGGCTATTTACTTCTTTATTAAATATTAAAAATAAGAATTATAATCACACTGTTCAGAAAGCATCCTTGCATTGGGAGAGGCAGGAGAAAGATAAATTGGTTTGTACAAATACAAAAAGAGAAAAAATTATTATTTTTTAAAATCCTTTCACCAACAAGACTTGCTCTTGCATTTGATTGATCTGATCTTAAACCAAAAGTTAATGTAAAACTTAATTGAAAAAAGAAAAAATCTTATAATGTCAAAGATCGTTCAGGAATACTGACACAGGAAAAAAAATCAATGCCTTACAAATCAGTTACATTTGTATAACTGAAGTGCCTCTATATTTCCCGCATAAAATGAATTGTATACAAGGTATCATTATCAGTACAAATCAGATATTATGTCCAGCTTATCTGAAGCTTTGTATGATTCTCCACTGTTGATTATTAGCAGCCTACCCAATGTAAATATATTCATGCAGAAGTGAGCTTTTTCTTGATTGAATGACATAAGATGTCACATTAATCTAATGATCCTGTTAATGATCTAGCCACTGTAAACAGATTAAGACTTATGTCCTCTAATAACATCATTCTAAGCTTTCTAATCTAAATGTTATTACATTCTGTATATATATACCTGAAATACTGTATGCCACATTCAACCACATTCCAAAGCTCTGTAATTCAGCACAGCTAAATTCATCATTACTCATGCACAATGTCACACTTTACATTTTTTTGTAACACAAAGATGTACTTTTATGGTTCATTTTCTTGCAAAGTCCATAAACGGACAGGATTTCTATACATAACAATTCACAACCAGACAACACAAGAATACAAAGGACCCAGAAATCATTTGCCATATTCTTATCTTGCGCATTCTGCATGGTAAGATTTTCCCTGTGCGTGATGATGGATGGGCGGTCTCAGGGGCAGGGGAGGGGTGAGAAATCTCTTTCTCAAGAGATTTTTGTCATTTGCTTACTGAGGTAAGAATAAAGATGACAAAGCCAAAGTTTGCTCTGTATTTATTCTTGCCAGTGATGAAGAATGGTACAAGCGAAAGGACACAGCAGCACATCTGGAACAGAAGCTGCCTAGAAAGGCCTCGGCAGTTTTAGGCGGCCTATAAATATATGCATAAATGAATGAATAAATAAATGGGAGGTGTCAGTCAGAAACGGTGTTTCTTGCCTGCAAAAGAAAAACTGCTTGGACATGCATCCAGGAAAGCGGCAGTGACAGACAGACCATGTCTCAAGCAGTGGTACAGCGGTCAACTTTAACGCATAGGCACTCTAAGCACATGTGACAGATTTGCCCTTGTCTAGGGATATTGTATAATGGGAGCTTTGTATATAGTTGATTATGAATTAGCACATAACACATTCCAGGTGCAAAGCATTGCCAAGGAAGGAAGTGTATGTTTACAGAATTCCTGATATTTGCACACAGAATTTTTAAGTAGGAGCACTGCCTGAAGAGCACTGTCTTTAAAGTCATACAATATCTCAACCAATAACATTTCTGGGCTTGCAGAAACATGGAGCAGATAAGTCAATCAGGGCCAGCACCACTGTCCTCCCAAGGAGAGGCAGAATATTCTTGGTTCTGAAGTTCCTGTATTTGTCTCTCATAATTATCTGATTTCTAATTAGGATTGCTTATGTGTTTCCACTGTGCAGAACAAGCAGTTATTATATTTTTCCTAAAGTTCCCAATTATGATTTTCCACATTTGCAAGGATGGGGGTGCAGGACCCCCACAAAAGTGGAAAAACAGCATATACCTCTAGCTCCCCCAAACCGTAACTCTTAGTATGACCAATAGTTGAGCATACATGCACTGGATTCTCCCTCTCTCTCTCAGACTGCAGCAGAGCTCCTCTTCTTCATGCATTACATTCTCATGTTCTTATTCCCAACCATCCCCTTTCACTAGCGCCTCTTTGCACTGAGGAAATGCCATAGAGATTTGAATGGGTGGAACAAGAAGGCATGCTTTGGAAGCCTTCCCGCTCTCCCCTTTTGCTTCCTTGATCATTATAGGGATGACAATTTTCCACAGTAGGCCGCAAAACTCCAGGAAAAAAAAAAAAAACACCCAGTTGATTACTGATGGCAAACTCAGAAATAATCAAATTCGCAAAAGTTAAACCCATGAAAGCCAAGGTTTGTCTGTAAAATCTTTCATGTTCTTGTCAACTCTTTTGATCCATAATTCCTTTCAAAATAGGATAACATTTTCTACATTGTACCACCCCCTTTCCTAGGTCCTGTTTACTCCTTAAACTGTATGTAGTTTATGGAGTTGTAACATAACTGGAACATGCCCAGCTCTTTAGTAAGCAATTTTGCTTATGCATAGTGCTTAATGCATTTTAGTGAATTTATATAAATCTTTCCAAAAAGTGTTTTAAAGTGAAATGTGCATAAAACTCTATAAAGGTGCAAAAAATCTATAAAATAAACTACTCTGCTAATGAGGACATTGCACTCAATAAGAACATAAGAAAAGCCACGCTGGATCAAACCATTGAGTCTACCACTCCATTCACACAGTGGCAAACCAGCTGCCCACCGTATTCCTCAAGCAGGATGGGGGCAAGACCTCCACCTGCCCAAGATCCTCAGCAAGTGGTGAACCCTGCCATACTGCTCCTGATGGCAGAGGCAGAGCATAGACAGCAAGAGTAGTCATCATTGACAGGCTCCTCCATGAATTCGTCCAATCCTCTTTTAAATCCATCCAAATTAGTGACCATCACTACTTCCTGTGGCAGTGAATTCCATATTTTCACTATGCATGGTGTGCAGAAATACTTCCTTTAATCTGACCTGAATCTCCCACTAATCAGTTTCATGGGATGGCTCTGGGTTCTAGTATTAGGAGCAATAAGGCAGTGAGTACACCCACCCCAACCACTCCATTTCATTCAGCTCCCATCTTCAGAGTTTGGGGTCAGAAGAAAAGCCAAAAGCAGGGGAGGAAACTGACATGTATCAGTTCAAGACGGAACAGTGAGAGGATCTTACAGACAAGGGGGAGCTACCTGCCCCCCTGCCCCCAGATCACGGCTGCTTTTTCAAGCAATCACTTCATTAGCAGCCCTTTTTGTTTTTGCTTTTTCAATGCTTCTGCATTGTACAAATGTGTTTGTATTTTCTTTTATTATTTTTCTGCTGGTCCTTGACAAGTGCAAGCAGATTTTCCTGTCCGCTGTGTTCAGCCTGCAGCAATGCAGTTGCCTCATCAGCTGGTTCTATGACATGATTCATCTGAGGCCTTCTTGCTCTGAAAGAGTGAAGCAAGTGGGAAAACAAGAGCATATGAGCAGCTACAATGCACCTATTGTCAGGCAGAAGCTCCTGAATTCTAGCCTCTGTTTTTGTGAATCTAACTAGAGAATCAGATATTCTGTACCTGATTGCACCTCCAGTCAAGACTATCCTTTGGTGTCCTGAAAGAACCGGTGCTTTGTCACCCACAGCAACATAACGCTCTCATTTTCCTCTCCAGGGAAAGCTAGTTTCAATTCATGCTTTCTGTTATCTTTCTGAAGTTTGTCAGCTCAGGACCTTGGAAATCCTGTCAGCTTAGCAAACAACATTTCACACATAAAGTAGGACAGGAAAGGACCTGAGAAAGTGTCCTTGCATTAACGAAGAGAATTGCACCACCGCCATCCCCAGCAATCCTACGCGTACCTTTGGTGCGATCTTCATGCTAGAATTGTATAAAGTCCATTTTCCCCTGTGAAACACAGAAAATAGGATGTTCCCCAAGTGAGAAAAATCATCCTGATGAAGCCCCTGCCCCTGGCTGCAGCAGAGGGGGAGATGAGGCAGCAAGGCCACACCATTGGGTGGACAGACAGACCATCTTCGGGTAGCTTCCTCCTCGCCCTTAGTTCATTCATTCTGGTTCCTGGCTCCTAGCTGAGCAGATCAGAGGAAGCTGCCTCAGCTGGTCTAGGGGCTCTGGGATACAAGCAGCCAAGCTCCCAGGAACAGCAAAAAGGAGTTTGGTGGCAGAGTTTTGCTGGGGAGGTTGTAGCTTATTTCCCCCTTCTTTCCTCTTCGGTTTCTTTAGTCCCCCCTCCCCATTTGTTTCCTTTCTTGTTACTATCTCTTTGGGGAGATAATTAAATCTGAAAATGACACAAAGCTGGATGGAATCACAAACACAGTGGAAGACAGAGATAAGATACAGAGTGATCGTGATAGGTTAGAGCACCAGGCAGAGGCCAACAGAATGAAATTCAGTTGGGATAAATGCCATATCTTCCATTTAGGAACAAGAAACCAAATGAATCACTACAAAATGGGAAATAGTTGGCTCAGCAATACTGCAGAGAGAAGGATCTTGGGGTTGTTGTAGATCACAGGCTAAATATGAGGCAACAATGTGATCCAGCTGCAAAAAGAGCAAATGCTATTTTGGGCTGCATTATCAGAAGCATCTCATCCAAAACATGTGAAGTACTAGTTCCCCCATACTCAGCACTAATCATATCTCATCTGGAGCACTGTCTCCAGTTCTGGGCACCTACATTTTAAAAAGATGCAGAAAAGTGAGAAAGGGTACAGAGGAGGGCAACAAGGATGCTTCAAGGAGGCAAAGCCCTTTGTGAAAAGATTGAGAGAACTGGGCATGTTCAGCCTCAAGAAGAGAAGACTGCAGGGAGATATGATAGCACTCTACAAGTACCTGAAAGGCTGTCACAAAAAGGAAGAACAAGATCTCTTCCCATTCCTTCCAGAATGAAGGAAGCAGAATAGCAGACTTTAGTCTAAATCTGGTTTCTTTTAACTTAACACCAGGAAGAATTTCCTCACTGTCAAAGCAG